TGGCATCGATCTGAACGAAAAGAAAACTCACGGCTATCACATCGTTCACCACCGTACGTTGTCATCGAGCAATCACATTTCACAGAGTTCCATTTTTGAATGCATTTTCCACCATTCAAGCAAGAATTTGACGAACATTTGGAGAGAGGGCCTGTAAGCAGTTGAGAATTATGATCTGGTTGTGTTTTTCGCGTTTTCGTGACATTGGATGCAAAACGAAATGTCGTTTACGAGGCGACTCTTTGCACGTCTATATTTGATGAACCCATCGAGCAAAAGATAACTACTGAAGCGACGAGAAAATCAGGACCAACAGAGTGCAATCCACAAGAATATCACTGACCTGTACATCCTTTAGTAACACCAACGATTTCATACGCATCCTCAAAAGCATCCAAGTGTTCATCGCCAATCCTCAATGATGATATGCAACCGCGAAAACCAACTACGTTGGTTAACCTGCAACATTTGGATGGAACATAATCCAATCAAGCAGTTCACCATTGTGCATTAGAACTCTTGAAGTCATTCCACGCAAAATGCAGTTCTTAACTGTGTAAATGTTTGACAGACCTGGGTGATAGTGGTGTAAGAGGTGGCACTCCACCCAGATACAACTGTCCTTCGAGTTTAGCCATGTGTCCACCAACAGTATCCATCACAGTGCTAGTATTATCAATAATCATGTGATGTTCACCATTAATTGCGTTCTGAAAGCAAAATACCGTGATTTGTTCATTCATGTGAACATTCATGCAGATTCCAGGAACCAATGAAATATAGTATGGCTGAACATATACTTGATAAATCAGTAAGGAATGCCATCGCATATCGCTGAGAGTTTGTTTGCGTCGAAGCACCGGCGACAGCACTGATTCGAAACGAGATCCGAAACCGAAACTGTATCTGAAGTAAAATACTGGAAGGGTTCAGTGAAAAATAGTCAAAATTGTTCCACCAAAAAAGTCCAATTCTGAGGTCACCTGGAACTCTGAACCACCATTTTTAAGATGCTTAATTCCGACTGTCATTTTGGAGTATAATCACCACTTCATTGTTCAACATTTTCGTGCACATAGATGTCATTTTAACTGATAATGATGAACAAAATTTTACGGCGAAAACAACGATCGGCTTCTAAGAACGATGGTTCTCAGTTAGCAGCACTCGGAAAAATGCTCAAATAATAGAGCGTTTAAGATAGGGACGTAAATGATTAGGTACAGCAGTGGAATGGCAAGGGGTGTCTCGTTACCGTATTCTTCCGGCGACTAATTCAATTGAAACGGAGTCTCCTCTGTACGTGGAATTCGAAGTGACAACCAAAATAATGCAAGATGGTGCTAGCGTGCGAAATTTGAGCGATATGCGATATGGACCTTCGATGGTGGAAATTCGACTGTCCGCAAAAACAACTCGTCCTTTGTTGGTCTCGAACGATACGGCCGAATATTTCGCTTTCCTTCAAAATTGACGATTATCAGTGAGAACTAAGTAACCAGTATTTTATTACTGCATTTCAGCATCGTTTTTTGGAGTGATCAAGCTATGGGCTATTCATATGGACCATTCTACCGTTACAATAAAAGTTGATGAAGCTTCGTGACGTTTCACTGCTTCTCTAAGGACTATCCATATGCAGTGGTTGCATAAGAAGTACTTTAGGTTGAAGTTATGCCTGTCTGGTGAAATGATCATTAGAAAATGTCATAATTGAACACTTACCGGTTCCTTGACTTCTGTCCGTCTCTCACCTCACTGGACTTCGAACTTGCTGCGAAATTTCCATTTCTTCGTTTGGCCTTCTTCAGCACATCATATCCATTGAAGGTTAGTTTGATCATTTGGCCAGAAAAATTTTCGTCATTTGTTTCGTTTCGTGGCGGTACGAAATCGCTCAGTCCAGTTGGATGCAGGGAATGGCCAGCGGCTATCTGGTCGATTTGCAGAACAATATTGGACGATGGTAAGAAATCTGAAAACTGTTATAAGTAATACAAAATGAAATCACATCTTCGTAGATCAATCAACAAATTCGCCTTATTCACTGTTCTAAAGGAGATGCAAGCAATCGAAAGGAGCCTCACTCCCGAGCTGTAATTACCTGCATTTCTACACTACCATTCACGAGAGTGGTAAATCAGTGATAATCTTTTTGAGGGCATAGGAAGCTACCTAATTTACGATGTTTGACAGTTGGAGAACTGAATATCAGGTGTCAAATGGTAGAAGGAAATTTTATGATGGTCGTGGTTCCCTATCTAATATCATATCATTATTGACATTACTATTTGAGGCATTTCAACTGATTTGATTTTAAGTGAAAAATATTGTTCCATGATGTTTTTGTCAGTGAAGTAAATCGAGTCAACAGAGTAAAGCAATTCGGAATCCAGTAATACGAGACAGACAGAAACAAACTGAAGAACTCACAGCTGTGTTCCCATTTGCCATCCAGAAAAAGCAGCAGTTTCTCACCTCGTCTTTTAACACGGATCGAATGAAATCGATCATCATTCAAACCACTGCCCCAATTGAAAGTCTGAAGTGGCGATACTTTTCAGGCTGATTCAGTAACCAATTAAAGTTGTTTTGAGTATCCCAATAACACGATGAGATTCAGTGAGAAGTGGTTCTCAGAGGAGGCGGGGAATCAAAACATAGAAATAGGGGGAAGTTTCCTGTGTGAAAAATTTCAACATATCAAGCAAGAACTATAAACGTCGGCAAATCATTCGCCCAATTTTTCTGTGATTGCTTGATTATATTTCACAAAATGCTTAATTGGTCCTAACGAAGTAACTCATTAAGAAAGATTGGTGTATTCCTGTAGCAAATATCTTGATCTTAGATGAAGTATGTTAATCGAACAGAGGAGGGATAATTATTATTCTGCAGATTTTTGGAAAGGGATGAGGGCATGTGACTAAATAGAGCATGGAGTGTAAAACCGCGAGAACCAGCGTTTCGAGACTAATGAAGGTTCCACCATCGTTTAAAAATCGCTTATTCGAGTGATACCGGTGATTGGTATAAGAATACGAATGAATTTTTTGCAACGGACATGCTGAGTGACGCCGAAGTTCAAGTGCAATTCCAATTCGCCTCTAATTATTGCAATGAGAATCCGATGTGATGGAGAGGCCGTCGATTTCGAGTCGAATATGATTCCTTTATCATCATCTGTACGAAATTTGCATTCAATCGTTTCGGATTCACTGTGCAACGGATTCGGAAGATGAAACGGTGGTAGTTCGCCACCTTTTTCGGTCAGTTCAACGACCTCTGGTTCTGAAACAATATAACAAAATCAATTACTTGACGCTCCAGGCACGGAATAAAGCCGCCATAACTGTCCTGTTGGGAACGTTGCTGCGGAAATATTTAGGACAACATTTGCGATTCGTTTGAACAAAGACTCCATTTTCCATCGCCTTTGCTAGCAAACGATGAATTTGGGTGTACTTGTGTGTTCTCGATGAGAAGTATGAGGTTGCTGAGATGTGAACTTGTAGTAGCAGTCAGTGAAATGAGCGATGACAGCGTACCGATATTGCACGTTGGTCCTTCCATGTGTGAATTCGAGCAGTCACATCGGAATGTAGCATAGCCAATCTCACAACGCCCGTAGTTTTTGCATGGTGATGATGCGCAATAGTCGTTGTTCAAAGTGTTGGGACAACCTTGTGAAATACCTGAATATTTGACAGGTGTCTAGAACCGATTGTGCTTTCCAAGATGTTAAGAATCAACCAGTGGAAGACGTTGTTCTTACAATTTATGGCGATACGTAAGCAATCTGGCTCAATCACGGAATGTTTTGAATATTCCTTTTTTGGTACCGCTCAGATCTTCTGATGTAACGTTATTGAACGGAATAATTGAAAATGTGGCCGGATTTGATTTTAGAATGCTGAATGTTCCTTTCCCTGAACTTTGCACTGACTGCTTGTCACAAGCCATGGAATTTACCTTTGTTTCAAATTCCATTCAGATTTATGCAATGAGAATTATCAAGATGACGAATTAAAAAAGCGAACCTGCTTCCACGAGTGTTTTCTGTTCCTCGTAAACGTTCGCAATGTTAGCGCTAATACCATTCAATCGGACGTTTTTGAGGCAGCCAACATATCCCTGTCGCAGATTTGCGGTCCACACAGTGGACGGAAACCGAAATGAAGATGGTGTTGAATCGTTCGCTGGCCATGGCACAGCGCCAACGTAGATTGGTTCATCTGAAATCGATCGAGCGACACTGGGCTAGATTCTTCCACGGACAACCATTTTGCGAAATCATAATCAGCTTCTTCAACGCCATAGGCACTGGAAGACTACGAAATGGAAACAGTAATCATATTTTGCGATCAGCCAAATGATCGCACATGACGTTACGCTCAACAACTAACCAATTATCAAATTCGCCGATACCCCAGGTGTTGAGAAATCCGTGCGAATGTTATCGACAATCACAGTGCCAGTTCGACCCATCCGTTCAAGTGTCACACTATGCCATACTGTGCCTTCGGTGATTTTCGACGCTGTTGTCTTCAAATACATACCAAATGTCATCACGATTATCGAAAACATTACAGAGAAGATCTCAACCATATGCGTGCATGAACTAAGAAAAAAACTTCGCTAGAAATTTGAAGAAGTTGAACGTAAGCAGCAAGCATACAATGTTCCTACCTGAAGCCGAACATGACCTGATCCCAGATTGATGATCAAGAACAAGTGCCCATCGATCAACTCGAAGGCGATGTAATCAGATGAGTCGTTAGTTATCGATTTTGAACCGTGATAAAGAATCAGTCCATCCAATTCGTAAGTTCGGAGTTGAAAACCTAGAACAAAATTGCTGCCATAGCGCTATTCAAAACAGCACTGCTACTTTTACATCCTTTGTCATCCAACATTCCATGCCAAGATTTCTCTCGCTTGGTGACTAGTGGAACAGTCGATGTCAGTAGAAATAATTTCTAAATTGCGACGTATCTTACGCACATCACTTGAAAAAATTTTTCCTGGTAAATTTGCTAACCAATGCTGCCACTACCAAGTGAGTTCCACTTTGGAAGTGTAATGTAGTGCTGTCCGCTATTGAACGACAGTATATCAGGTGGAACGGTTGGTTTTCGACAAGAAAACGCCAAATCGCCAGCCGACCGAATCACTGATTGCCCATAACCCTGATCGGCGAGACTAATGAAGTTGATCAAATGCGCATCCGCTTCGAATTTCACCTTCAATTTGTGATGATTTTGATTTATGTAGCCTGAATTCCGAATTCGACCCAGTTTATTGACTGCGTCTTCAGGGAGACGTTTCACCAGTCATATTCACCGAGCTATATTATCGTTATGAATTGCCGCGAAAATCAATCGCATGGAACGCATCAGTACAAGCGATATCACTACAATCCTTTTTGGTCTACTCGGAGTATTTGCCCAACCTTCTTCATGCATCCACGGAAATTCGGTTTATCTAAATCTTCGTATTGTTTTTCCAGCGGTATTCCACCAACGAATGCATAAGAATTTTTAAGCCAATCGATTTCGGGTGCATATTGTCGAATTTCATCCTTCCTTCCATCAACAATTAACGTCATCTGGAAATAGAAACGCTCAAGTTGGGAATTTGCAGCCCGTCGTGATGAAATGAGGAGATAACGCAAACGAGATTGAGTAAATATATTCGAAGGGAGAGTGGCAACCAAATCAACATAACTCAATAGAGGTTTGTTCACATAGGCGGCACAACTTTCATCAAATCATCAGCAATTACAACATAAACACTCTGTTCAATACATCATTTCATTTTTCCTCGAAAATATCACTTTTGCATACTTCAGTGTGCATTTTCTTGCAACATGGAGCATTCCCAAAAAANTGGGAATTTATGTCAGGCGACGGAAGCATGGAGGCATGTATGCAGATGAACCGCGAAGATTTTTTGTGTGCAATAAATTTTCCTTAGTTTGTTATCTTGCCGCATTCCGACACCATAGTAGTGAAACCTCATAAAATAACGGCTGAGAAGCAATCTTTTCGGCTTTGCAAAGTTATGGATGGAAATATATGAAAACGACATCCTCTGCTCTTTGATAAATGGTCAAATGCCTGGCGACATAAGTTATTGCACTGCAATCTTTTCGATTCCGTTGATGACGGCTAGGATTGCAGCTCGGTTCCCTTGAAGAAAGCTCAACTATGTTTCACCTAAACTGCATCGCCGTGTGTTCCACTCAAGCAGTTTCAACACAAACAGTTTCACTGCCACACTAACAATAACAGAAACGGTTTAGCCAACGAATTGCATGCTGGACAAAAATGACGGAACCAAACAAGAAAAAAGCGAGAAATGATTAAAAAACATGGAAATGCGGAAATATAGAGAGAAAACACCATGCCATTTCAGCGATAAGCGGCAATCCAAGCAGGACACCAGCACATCCAGTCAAACTTTGGCTCAAATAGATCACTAGTTCTGTAAGTGCGTATGAAATGCTACAAAGAGCCTTTGAAACATGTGTATTCCAGCCAACAATCAGAATTGCCGAATGTGGCAATTCGATTTTTTTGAGCTGAAGTTTGACTCGAAATAATTGACGGAGAGCAAACGCAATCAAAGAAATCAATCGGGATTATTCAAATCGCAAACGACTTGTGAATACATTGATTTTGATACTTACGTGAATTGAAGCGACAGAGACAGTTCTCTAAAGTTAATACAAAAGCATTTGTTGTTACGAATTACATCACGTGATATTGACGAATAAAGCTGACTTCCAGATAGGAAGGATACTGGCTAGCAAATGGACAGATTTACATTTGTATCAAAAGCTTCCCATTTTCACCTTCATTTCTATTATCAATGCATTCTAGCAAGAGTGTAGAGTAGTCAAATGGAACAACAAAAGTTTTCGTAAAACGACAGTGGTGGGCGCTTTACTGAACATTTGGATTTCCAGGAACATTCACAGTTTCTATTTCTCTTGCGCATGAATGGATGCTTATTCCGGTTGCGAAACGCGCAATTTTGCTTGAGCATTAGTTTCGCTTGAACTAACAACAACAACGAAAATACAAAGGATTCAAAAACATACGTTGTCTACACTAAAANAAAACATTCGTTAAACATTCAACGATGCGATGGTGTGAAGAATTCTAGTGAACACTTCATTGATGCTTTCTTTCATTGGTGAAGCATTTCCTCGTATGCTGTGGTACAAAAAATGGAAAACGGGCAATACTTGTTGAAAAAACACTGATTGTGAGTGATGACAATGTTGATAGATCCAAAAATCACAGATTCTATGAAAATCTACTAAAAGTCGTACACGTACAATCGACATACTAATAATAAGACGCAGACATGCTCCTGATTCTTCGAACCAATTACACCTGATTGAACATTTCACAGAGTTTGACGGCTTTGTGAAATTATGGATGAACAGACTATCGTTTAGATCGAAACACATTCTTTTCGCTCACAAAAGATCGAGACAAGAACAAATCTGGAGAACTTGCTGACGAAAAGATTGCAAACGGATGCTGCAAAATTTTAGATTCGTTGGAGCTTCTAATGAGGCGTTTTATGATGCCATCGTAGTCGAAACTTCTCCAAGAAATCGGTCAAAATCACTTTCTCTCTAGATTCATGTGAGATTGTAAGGGCAATATGAAAGCGCCTCTGTTGCGTTCAGTGACAATTGCTGGCGATGAATGGCTCATGTAAGCTACTGAACAGCTAAAACCACATACCAGAGTCAGTGTGCGAGTAACAGTGACCATGTGCCATTGGTCATCATCGTATCGGCCCGACGGGTATTCGTTGAAGATTCTGATCAGACGTTTCTCAGTGTCGTCAAATTTCGACGTTGCTACTAGTGACCCATCGTCAATTGTTACATAGACGTAATTCTGAACGCGAAAAAAGCTCACTAAACTGTAAACAAATATTCGAGCTCTGATTTCCTGGCGCATTCCAGATTCCAGCTGTTTGAGTCGCCGCGGCTAATAGCAATATCAAATTAGGCTGGTGGAACGAGAATTTGACGATAATTTAGTTGTGATTATGAGCAATCCATCCATCAAGCTCTCTCATTTCATCCCAAATGGATAATATGTAATACAACATAATACGAAATGAAAACACTTCGGCAAAACACTGGTTATCGAAAGCGATTGCAATGACGATAAAAGCGGAAAACCTACGAGCTGATCTCCGCTGAAAAAAAGGGTTTGGCGTCCTTGAATTGTTTTGAAAGCAAAACTGATATTCTCAAAGCGAGATCTTATTGTTGCTGCCGAGTTGTTACTGACATCATACCCTAGCCATTCGTTTCCAAAAAACGACAGTTCGGCGTCCAGCCTCACTGAAAAGTCAGCCATACAGATGTGATCATTATAGGAGGATGCTCGACGTTTATGCTGTGAAATATTTCAAACTTTAACAGATAAGTTCAGTTGGCTTAGTTGCTCACTGTTGTAAAAGCACATCCGATTTGACCGAAAACAGCACAGACTTTAATCAGTGATCTCGATTCGAGAAATTGAAGTTTCAGAAGCTATGTGTTTGCCTAGGTTCGGCGCGTAATCTCTGCGAAACTGAACATATGCTCTATACCTTGCTCACATCGACGACCATCAAAATCCGACAGCGAACAGTCACATTTTGGACCGTCGTTGGTGCTGTAGCATACCCCATCATTTTTACAGTATTGCTCTTTGTTGCCGCCAACTGCACTTGGCTTACAGTAATCGTCGTCTGACTGTCTCATACCAACACTTTCCAATAGCTGTGGTGAGGTTACTCCTTCAAAATGCACGATGCAATTTTCTGGTGTCTAATAAGCACCTGCACTGATATCAGCAAACTGGTGAAAACTGATCGGGTAGATCAAGATTGCTGAATTCGGATATCTCAAGCAAAATGCAATTTCCAGCGAAAAGAATATCAGAAACATCCAGCATCGTCGAAGTAGACGGTTGTTGGAGCGGGAAAAAAATCTTGGCTAGTTATTAATCGGAATTCGTGTATGAAGCATGAATGCGCTAGTAAAATTTCAGATACCTTGTGGATATAGTCTGTAGACGAGATTTTTGATTGTTCCGGCGAATGTTTTCGTATGCCGTTTCAACGGTGAACTCATAGCAGCCAACATGTGAATATCCTTCAAAAATGTGCATTCAAACACCAAGTTTCACATTCATCAAAAGTTTCTATGTGAACGCACTCCTGATGATTTGAATAACATTTTTATTTCGGCTCACGAGCGGGCAAATTTTCAACCGAATGGAAAACTTAAAGGTTCTAAGAAGTGCATCTGTTGTCGTGGGTTCATGATTTTGAAACAGCAGTAATGCTTTACGTATGATGCATTGCTACCTTCGGCACTCCTCCAACGAATACGTCGGAGCATGTCTTCAGGTTACCAAAAACGAAACTTTGTTGGCTGAGAATCTTGAATAGAACTGTATCATCTAGTTGCAATTTCACGTTCTCCCATGCCTGCAAGACTGTAGATGTTGAATTGTTTCACGGCCAGCAAGAACCACATAATTTTGCATTTTGACAGGAAATCATCGTAACATGTTCGAAACAATGGTCTCATTCGATGGATGGCGAATAAAAAAGACCAAAATAATCCTTATTGAAGATTCGCCCGGATGAAAACTTCATCGCTCTATTGAAATCTGATAAGATCAAAGAAAGTCAATCAGCGGCACCTGGAATAAAGTTAACTGATGCCATCTGTTGTCATTGACAGGAATATCATCAACCCGCATCGTAACAACGGCACGTTGAGATGCCAAATCGTTGGATTCATCACCCAACCTTCAAGAAAATTTGTCGAAAAATTGACAGATGAATGAATTTGGGAATATTAATTTCAGTGATGAATCAGTAACATTGTAGTGATATAGATGAACGAAAATTTTTTCACTTTGCAACGGATGCAGACTAAGACAGTATTCGGGAAGTAAATTAATCTGAGAAGACATTTAATCATAACGCAGATGATGAAAAGTTCACATCAAGGTCATCTGAAAATAAATGGGATCACCTGAAATCAAGCTGTAATCTACCGTCCGCAATTGTAAGTGCATAGAAATTCCCCTGCACACCACCATCATCCGTATAGAGTAAGAGCGCATCGGACTGTCTCGTACGAAATTCCAGAGAAAGTTGATTTTCAAAGGTATGAGACCATTTAGGGTACCTAAAAGCAAATCGGTGTAGAGTGTTGAGAGGTACCTTATAGCGATGCCAGGATAACTGCCGATGCACATTGTTGTGTGGTTAATCTATCAAATATGAGTGAAAAAACCAGAAAAATCGCAAGCTGATGCAATGACGAAGAGGTTTGCTGCTGAGAATTCATCGGTAGCAGCAATGAAAATCACATCCTTGTGATCAGACAAGCAGTTTGAGACCAATAAAATCAACTTTCTTGTCAATAGATCATTTGAGAACGAGGTTCAACATGTGGAGAATAAAAATCATTTAACAATGATTTACTGATCTTCTCGATTCTTCCTGATACCCCTAAATTCATTCTGAAATGTGAATTTCTCCCCATTTCCCCTCCTGTGAGGATCTCCAATTTAAAATTTTATTTCAGTGAAACGACTTCTTCAATTTATTGAAGTAATCTCCATGGATACCAATTATTGAGTTCTTAGTGAATTAGTTTAAAAATAATATTTGAATTCAAATGTAATCATCTCTGATTCCAAGAAACGATCTCGAGAATCGTGTGTGTAAGATATCAGTTGGTCTAATTAACAAAAGAGGGAATACTTGGCAAGATACATCAGGAATCTCTGGTGGTGAATTTAGTTATGTTGTTGCTATGGTGCTCTAGATTGCCGGTTCGGCTGAACTTCCTTGATGGATATGAATTATGAGTGTATTTTAAGTGCTTGTTGGTTATCAACTCGGTGGAAAACTTGACATAAACGACGTGTAAGCAGAAAAAACTTTCGAAATATTTGAACGTTTTCTGGGCGCACACAATATCCGATCATGGTTAGATGAACANAGATGAACATGTTTAATTTGATTATGCTTCCGCGGGAAATATTTTTTCTCAAACAAACATCAACGGAAGCGGAACATGAGGGTATCAAGAATGGAGGCAAATGTACATACGGTGGAAAGTAGTTGCAAAATCAGCTAGGTATAAAGGTACTTAGTTAGCATAAAACGAGACTCCAAGCGCAATCGAAGAAGGTGAGTCCAAATAAATGCGCAGCACTATTGACAAGAAACATGGGGTGGGGTTCAAGGAAGGTGACCAGTTGGAACGGGATAAGAAGATGGCAGATAGACCATAAGACAGAGAGATTTCAGAACTAAATCTTGCGAAGAAAACGTTTAGTGATCGAGAAATGCTTTTTAATCTGGAATTGTGACTATCTATCTTTCTCAGAAACTTCATTGGTTCTCATTCTTCCTTTCGGCTTTTAATTACTTATTAATTCATAAATTGATCATGAACGAACTGATTAGCGATGATCGTAATGTTTCGATGGAGAAAAGTAGGTAATATGTGGGATTATGACATAATCCCTTGCTCTTACGACATTATTTTGAGTTAATTTTGCGAGCAGTGACTACTTGCCTCTACTCATTATGTTACACGCAAGTTGATGTGTGATTAAATACAATTCTACTCAGAAGAATAATAATTCTACAATTACTTCATTACCTCATCACTTACCTCATCCTACAATTCTACAGTACAATTCTACTTGTTAGTGAATCTTGTGAGTATTTTTGAACGTGGGAAATGTCGAGTTCATTGCACACTGATTGTGCACCCAATCAGAGAGTGTATGCAATTTTCGAGAATGTAGTTGAAAAATGAGATCTTAATTTGATGAACCTCAATTTAAGAACGAATTCAATCAGGGATAATTCAATTATGTCTATGCATTCATTTCATTAACACGCTATTTCATTTCAACCAAAACATTTATTCGATCATTGAAATGCTTGAATTCCATCAAATTTTCTAGCACGCTTAGAGTAAAAGCTGTGCTAAATCAGAGAGATTATCGATGGCACATGAAATTTCATCAGCATACACGCTGACATACAGTGAAAATCTCAACTCAATTTACTGATTGTCGTTACCTCGCAAATGACTCTGGAGCTCCAGACAGAATGATTGCGTTCGATTGAGCAAATAGATGGATGAGGATGTGTATCAGAAATAAAGGCCACATATTGCATTTGATCGGAATGCATCCAGCGAGAATATTCGCAGTGAATGTCGTTCGCAAGCAAGGTGCGTTTGTTTTGCAGCGATTCGGTCGATGCCACTTCTTCAGAGACGATCGTAACCGTGGTCTTGATGCGCTGATTTTGATCAAATGAAATTTTTGATTTGTTTCATTCCGATGAACTCTTTGGATTGCTTCAAGTTTCGGCATTATCCTCAAGCTTTCGGCATTCTCGTTTCGCGTCGACAATACAGATCGAATCGAGTTTGAGCGAAAACGAGCACTTGCCGTTACAGATCTGGTTTCACAGCAGCAATGTTGTATTGATGAGGACGCACTAGAACATGGAGAACAGATGATATTCGCCGGTGTCGATAGTGCATTACTGCTATTCGAATCAGTTGAATAATTGCGGTGACGATTATGATAAGATTGATGGTGATAAGAGTGATCGTGATAAGATGCTGATTGCTGCTGATGATGAGAAGATGACTGGGATGAAGCAAGCATGTGATCAACACACACATGCTCACAGATCAGAATCAATTCGTTGTCGTCGACGTGAACACCACCCATCTCAACGTCTACGCCTTCGTTGCCAATTGAATGTGTACATTCTGAAAATTGATGCTGATCATGACAACAGTATCGCACAATCACATTCGCGTTATTCGTTCACGGATCATTTCCGCTCANATTCCTCATTGATGGAGGCTTTCTAAGTCCTTATAACGGGGAAATGATACTTCAGAATCATTAGCCAACATTAGACCTAAAAATTCGTTCTAAATTGCAACGAATATATCAAGAGTAGTATCCGTTCTAAGGAATGTGTTTCTTATGAATGACGGGCTAGGGAAAGAATCTAGTGCGATGACGTTACCGATAGCAGAAGACTAAATTAATGACGTTTCCTGGAAATTATTGCCGTGAAAGATAAAATTCAATGTGTTCGAAAATTCAAGAAAAAATTCGATGAAAATTCCACGACACGCAACACGCAATTATAATCAACCGTTTGATTCATCAGTTATTTATATGAGACGAGAGGCAAACGTTTTGAAACGAACTTTAAACTGATATTTCCACGTTCTAAAGTTTGGAATATTTGATTCTATAGTTCATTCAGACTAGAAATAAAAATATTACTGCGTTGTGTTTCTTAATCGTCGACTTGACTGATCGAAGATGCTGCGTGACCGGAGACATGACTATGTGACATGACTATGACTATGTCGTTCCGTGATAAAGGCTGTTTACCAAACCGAAAGGGACCAATGCATAAATACATAAAATTCTTCGAAATGTCAACAGAAATTTCAAAATTTTTGACAGCACTGTCATAAATTTATGATGGTTCATTGAGCCATAAAAATGCCATCCATTCGGACAAGGATGTAGAAAGAGTGGGAAGTGATTGTAATGAATGTAACATGTATGCTACTTTTGCTTCCGGGAAAATCAATCATAAACAATGGCATTGCTCGCTAACCATGAGAAACGTGTTTCTGGAGAACTAATTCAAAGAACACCTTTACTCATGCTTCCGTTGTTTTGTGTGCCCGTCAGCCCTCCTGATGTGTGAAACGCTTTGTCCGAAATATGGGAAACTGGATGAAAAGAAACGGAAACGGAAATGACATCAACAAAAGATGACCGACCGCTAGTACATAACGCATTATAGGAACTATGATCAAGAAGACAGTGCTGCAGATCGTTTGAACCAATCTCCTCAACCTGCTCAACAATGAACACTGATTTTCGAGTCGGTTCGCGGTAATTATCAAGTCTATCGTTCAATAGATACTTGATTTTGGAATACACTAAACAACTCATCTGTCCGTGTGATTAATGTCATAAGTTGGCCGTCATGTTTCGTGAGAACCAACTCAAAAAAGTGTGCATTAAGGAAATTATAATAATGCATGTGCTAAGGTAAAAGAGGAAGAATTTTCCGATGAAATTGAAAGAAATTAGTGCGATTGAGGTGGAATAAGGCGATCGTGAAATTATTCATACTGTCAAATGTAATCAACAGTCGCGAATATTGAATCAAATGCTTGATTTTAAGAAGAAGCATTTAAGCATATCCGGTATGCTTACGATTAGATGCGCGTGATTGATTCGAATTTTATGCGCGCATATCCACAGAAACCCAAACACAATCACGCATTTTTCACCTTTTTCTAAGCATTTTTGATGGTAATTTTTGCGCCGAAGCATTAAACATCTACGGCAGTCTGCGAGAAAAGCAATCGTGCCGTGAAATTGAAAATTATACATTAGGATCCTCAAGCAACTGCGCATATATGAACTGCGCTTAGCGCATTAATCTACCGCTGGACGTTGATCAAAATTCNGAAATTGCCTTTTTTTCGCTGTCAGTGAGCTTGACAGTTTTTTTCCCAAGCTGCTCAGCTTCATTAGCAAACATGTCGGTAAAACATTTGGCCATTCTTGACGATCGTTTGTGTGTGCAACAGATTAAGGGATTTGGATGAATGTTCAGGTACTTTGCAGAATAGCTGCAAAGTTTAGCTTGTAACGTGTATCAGTAGTTTTTTCCCTCCATCATACAAACTTCCTCAGTTTCTGAATTCGCCTCCCTATCACTACTTTCGAAGCCTCACACAACGCTGATTATCTCACAATCAGTGATGAATCAGTTATTTTTGTCTGTCATTTGATTTAGCAAAATGAGATTTCTGATGCCACACAGTGTAGAAAGAATGTAGAGCACGAATGAATCCAACCCACGATTACGTGATAAGCTCTCGTCAAAAGACACGCTAATATTGCACCTTAATCATTTGCGAGCAAATCATGCATGCCATGAACATAAAAATCAGTCACATGATTACTTAAGAGTCCAGATTTTCTTGAGAACTGCTGGTCGCATTGGAACCACAGTGATGTCGTTCAGTGTCGTATTTTCTTAGTACTGAGAAAAGAATCGATTGAAGAACTCAACCGATTGATGTTGATGTCGCAGCTCTCTGGATAACACAATTACAAGATGTTGACTTCAATGAGCACATTTAGATTACAAAATGCATGAATCCGTGCATTCGTTCTTTGTTGCGATAACTGATCTAGAAACGAGTGAACGTGCATTTTTGCTTTGTCACAGCTGAAATTCGCTGGAAAACTGCTTCCTGGCTACTTGCGTGCTAGATCAGCGCTTCTTATACAGGTGAAATTACCCATTTTGGGCAATTTGGATGTGTCAAGGGGTAATGGAGGGGTCAGGAAATTAGTATTTCGTGCAGTTGTTACGATAGAACGCCATTGTTATGGGGTTTTTTAACTCCGGTATGTAAATGCGTTAGTTGATGGCAACACTCTTCATTCTTCTATTTTCTGAGTATCATTAGCTAGTTTGGGCCTAAGAAGGTTTTCATGTGTTTTAGTAAAGATTTTATTCTTTTCCTTGCTGTTGCAGTCGCTCGCATAACTTTTATCACCAAAGTGTTCTCTTCTGCTAATTTCTCACTCATTTGACTGAATAATTTAAGTCAAATCCTCATTCTACCAAATACGCTGTATAATTATCATTTAACTATCGAACGTTGTTGAGCAATAATATTCGATTGCTGTATTGTTGATTTTGGCTGTCAACACTCGTCAACGTATCCAGTAAACAGTANNNNTTCCAACACGTCCGAAAAGAATGAGAATTCATCTAAATCAGTTTGAAATGACCATATCGCAAACAATAGTTTTTCATGCAATCAAGAAAGCAATTTCTTTCACTTCGCTGAGAAATTTAACGGCAAAGTAACAAATCATTAAAAGGAGTA